CTTTTTTTCTGTATAAGTAGGTATGTATTATAAACTACTAAATGGTGGAGCGTAGAGATGTCATCTTGTAAATCAAATAAGGTAGTTACTTAAACTACTATAAAATTACACGAAAATTTTGATAAATTGGTCAACATTCCTGTCACCTATAGATAAACTCATTCATCAAAATAACAAGGCCAAATAAAAAGTATAACTAACTGTATCAAACCAAAAACCGATTCATAATATATCTACCAATATAGTGTCACAAAACGCAACGGTAATAATAACAAAAACGTACTATTTTGACCACAAAAGGCCCTGATTATTTGGCACATACGTCCTTTTTGCCTGTCACAAAATAACAATCACGTACTTCAAAACAATGAGTTGTATCATCCAAACAAATTAGCATACTGTGTTATAGTGGGTTCATTTTGCATAACATTTTATGGTTTGCCCTTGACAAGAATAAGATCTGAAGTACCGACGACTGTACATACGTTGTGTCACTTAGAAGATTGCAATCTTTATTTTTTTTTATGGATTTTTTTTTTAAGGGTGGAAATTCATCGAATAACTGCTCCCGCCTGGGTGAGGCGGAAGGGAGTATCAGACTCTTACTGACTAAAACCCACCCCGTTCCTTCTCCTGCACGTCGAGCCGGAGCCCGGTTACCCGTTAGGTTCTCCGCGACTTTTTTATGGAATAGGAGGCAAACGAGCATACGGATCACCTGATGGTAAGCGATCAGCGCCGCCCATGGACACCCGCAACACCAGAGAAGAGGTGCGTTGCCGGCCTTTTAAAAAGGAATACGCTCTTTTCTTGAAGGTTTGAAGGTCGTATCTAGGTAACCTAGGTTTATTTGTCTCTTAAATAATAGTAGCGCTCTTCCTTAAATGATAGTGGTTTAAAGAACAATACGTGGGTCTCTTGTTGTCTTATTTTGAAAATAAGAAGAGGAAAGGTTGAAAAAACTGTGTGACGAATATCATTATCTGCCTAAATTATTTTAACATCGCATCATGCCTTCATTCTCTAAGAAGGTTAGCAGACGTTGACATATTTATCGTACAGAAGATTTTTCAGCAAAAATGTTTTTTTTTTATAGAAAGAGCCGAGAGTCATCGTGTAGAAGGATTACCTGATGGTAAGTAATCGGCGCTGCTCATGTACACCCAAAACACCAGAGGTGTTACAAGGACGTAACCGGCCGGGAACTTGAACCTTATTGGGGATTTGGGGATTTGGGGATTGAGGAGGGAGAGGGGGTAATCCGGTATGTTAGGAATTTCATATAGGTAATAAGAGCGAGAAGATACCAAACACCTGAATTATTTGCTGGCTTAATCCTAAATATTACTGTTTAAAATGGATAAATGATAAAATTATTATATTTATAGTAAATAACTATGAAATGGTTAATTAAAAACAAATACAAGTAATTTGGTATAATCATTATAAAAATGAAAACCAATCTAAGTATGTTTATCATACAGATTAAATTTAATTAGCGACCCTCTGTATAATTTTCCAATACATATAATAATTACGCTGGTAATTAGAAAAGTCGTTAGCAGCAGGATTCTTGAACTGAATGACTGACATACATACATATATTCATAGTTACCGGCGCCCTTGTGAGTAAATAACGATGTATTTATTTACCTATGTTAAGGTTGTCTAAAAATAACTAATATTAACTTATATATTACTGCTCTGCTCTTGTGACTGCCTCATTGGCCGAGTGGTCACAAGTGCGACTGCCGGGCAAGATTCCCGGGTTGGGCAAAGTATTACTGGGTTTACAAAAAAATCTCATTAGTAGCACGGAGTCTAAAATTGTGCCCGGTATATGGCAATAGAGGTAGGCTCACCCCCTATTACATGGGACTCATAACATAAATAGTGGAAAGTGGATGTTACATTGTACAGTGGCATAATGTGCACCTCTGCCTACCTGTTCGGGGATATAAGGCGTGATATTATTTTTAAATGTAACAATATGTTTATCAATAGGTACTGTCAATGTAGTTAATCGTAGTTAAACATAACGTTTTCACACGCATTTCTTTTTGAATATTAGTTTAAAATAATTAGGTTAACCAGTTTTCCCACGTTACTGTTCGATGACGTCTCTCGACTAGTTTCAAACCAAAACAGGAGTCCAAAATCATGGAAACGCCAACGTTACTTTCAAACCGTCACATTAAAAAAAACAGTAAGCGTATCGAACTGTCAGTTACTGAATTCACTATCTACTATTTGATATTTGTCAAATAAAGTAAATAAATAAGTACCTAATATTTCCAATTTTCAGTTATACGGTAACATGAAAACCCTTTGACCCTATATCTCCATTGACCTTCAAAGAAGCCAATAACCACCAGTGCACGTCTCTCGCATAAAGATAACTTCTAACAACCATAAAAGAACTTTATTTTCACGTTTATAATGACTCTTTTAGAATAAAACTTAATAGCTTTAAGTTAAAAGACCACACGCACTTAGATTCTTTTATGATTAAAAATTAAAACTATTGCGCTGTGTCGTTGGAGACTTCGTAAGGAGACGCTACGACTTATTATTGCTTAAATATTTTCGAAATTAATTTAAGAAATCTTTGTAAGAAATGAAAATTTTAGATAGCAATATTTTATGTTGTAAATATGGTTTGGTTTTAGAGAAAACTGTTTTAAATGACTTTTTTTATTCATCGAATGACTTCTCCCGCCTGGGTGAGACGGAAGGGAGTGTCAGACTCTTACTGACTAAAAACCACCCCGTTCCTTCTCCTGCACCTCAAGCCGGAGCCCCGGTAACCCGTTAGATTCTCCGCGACGTTCTAAATGACTATACCTGTATTTAAAAATGGAAATCCATTTTATTTATTGTGAATAGATTTAATAACTTGATACTCATCTCCATTGCTTCATTGAATTATAGAATGACTGATATAGGTATTAATTAACTAAACATGTACACAAAAACGCATCATTTATTTAAAGGAACCCGCTTTGGCTCACCTCTTTAGATTATTATTTAATTCAGCAATAAAGATACCAATGCACGGAACTAGACACTACAAAAAAAAGAAATAACAAAGAAACTATCTAACTGCATCCATCGTCCACAATCTACCAATTACAACCTCACATGACATAACCATGGTTAACAAAAACCAACCGTTTGACATTTAACGAACGAACACTAACTCATTACATAAGCGTCCTTGCAAGGCCGCGAGTGGGTTGCGCGGGCGCAAAAAGCCACAGAGTATACACGTACAGAAGGTCAACTAGTTCCGGATATTTTTAATCTGTATTGCTATTGTTGTAGGAAGGTTTCGTGAGTCATTCTGTTTGTTTATGTTTCCTGTATAGATGTAAATTTAAAAAGCATCATTGATTTTTTTCTTTCAAAAACACACATCACACGGTTTTAGATTTTGTAGTAGCTATAGCTGCTTGTCATTTTAATTTATGAAAACCTATAACTGGAGAAATCAGATGATATGAACGAGATACTTATACAAGATACAGTCACTCGATCAACCAAGTTTTTTTAGTCACTTAAGAAAATAAATAAAAAAATTAAATGATAATTTATCATAAATAATGTTTTTTTTCAAACTAGGACTTCTGCATAGTATCTATAGTGTGTCAAGATGTAACGCGCCGCCCGCCTGCGCACGAGTGCACGTAATTACGCCTTTGTTGTGCTGTTAATCGTGGGAAAAGGATGTAAGGTGCAGCGATGAGACATATTATATTATTTCAGTTTAGATTGTATTAGGGATGTGGTTTTTGTCGATAAAATATCTATTCGAAAACACTATCTTAGTTAATTCCATATTATTGCATTCTTGTGTATTTAAATAACATACCAAAACTTTTAAGCGTCTTAAAGGTTTTTATATTTGTCAATTATAAAGTCTATATAGGTAATAATACAGTCTGTACAAACACATACTGTATAGACTGCCTGCCGATACTTATCATATATTCGTTATTATTTACTTGATGCTTGTCTCATTTTTTTAAAAAAAAAACTACCTACCTATGCTAATATAAAGCTTCTGTGACATAAACCATTGGCAATAATACATTATTCTCACACGGCTTCCATTCCAATAACCCAAGATAGCAATCACACAATACAAATGAGAATATTTTTATCGACCATCGACATTATGATCTTTGGAAATAAATTATTGACATTGTTATTGGACAGCACTATTTTTAATGTTTATTTTTAACTGTTTATATCTACTTGTATGAGATAGGAAGTTGTTGCAAAAGGTTGCATTCTGAGTCATTGCAAGGCTGTGACTGATAAATATCTTGATAATGTCTACTTTTGACTCAGTTTTGGCGAAGCTTTGTGTCTGGGAATATAGTCTTGTTTACTGGTCGTTTGCTATGTAGACTTTATGGTCGTAATTCCTTGATAAATGTTGTTTATGTTTGTTCTCAGCCAACTTTTTTAGAACCTAGGTTATTAGGGTCCTATATACTAGTATTGTGCGGGATTTTCATGGCTTAAGGCAGTACGTAGTACCCAAAACCTTGATCATAAATTATGCTATAACTGAAATATCTGAGACAAGATTTCCTTCTTTATAACAAAAAGCTAAGCCTTGTCTATAGACAAGGCTTAAAGTCATTTTAATACCGACAGATCACCCAATGATAATTGATCAGCGTGGCTCATGGACATCAGATACCACTGAGGAGTTACAATGATGTTATCGACCTTTGAGGTGGGGCAGGAGATGGTGCTTCTGGTGACCTCACTCTCACAGTAAGGCTATAAACCTGTACCTATCGGTCACAATTGACGTAACTTTAACATGACATCACCCACGTCAGTTCTGAACTTCTAAGAACTTAATAAATATTTTGTCCTAACCTTGTTCTGTTCACTTATATTATGTGAAGAGATAAAGCTAGCTATTGCTAAGACTATGGTCATTATTTTTTACGATTGTCTCCTCTATTTTATTTGTAGTTCTGTTACAACTTGGTTGACGCAATTGTACATCTAAAATAAGAAGAAAATTGTTGCTATAGAAAGCTTATTTCAAAAGGCATTTTACGCTACGACAATTATTAGATGATTGTTAAAAAAGAGCAATCTCTGTCAAATGTATAGTGTGTTATTAATTGGTTGTAATGATACTCGTGAGAAGAGTAAGGTATCACCACGTGGTGATCAAGATTGTCATGTGGCCATCTTCGTTATTCTCATGAGCTTAATAGAAGGTCCTAAATACATGTATTGAATAAAAAGGGAAGCACCTCAAATCTTTCCATAACATTCACATGACTTCATGATTTAATTTTGCATGGTGAACCTTGAACCTTGTCGAGAAGGTGTTAGCGGCATTACAAAAAAACTAGAACTATGTACTCACCGAGTCCACATATGAGGTAAGTGGGCGGCGGTTTCAGTACGGATCGGGCGTAAGCCCCTCGGACTGTCTCCAGTGCCCTGGGGGCTCCGGCCACCAGTAGCACTCCCGGAGACACGTAGCCAGCATACCTCAGCTCCGCCGTCGCAGCCGCTAGGGCTCCCGCCCACCAACATTTTGCATTCGCTGATAGAAAACTCTGAAATAAAAGAAAACATAATTTATTAATTTCAACATTATTGTTTAGCATTTCGTTAAATGGGTAGGACCATTTGACAGTGATGATGAGATACAACTTTTGACAGTGACTGCTCTAAACTTGAACTTTTTAAATTACGGTTTTGAGGCCACATGCCAAGGAAATCCACTCTCATAGAGGAGGCTCCATAGTCTTGTAAAACTGTTCATAAAAGTATGGCTAAAGGCCTAAGTATAGCGGGACGATCTCCGGCCACCGTAAGCACGGGCCTGCGGACGGCGAGCATGGGTGGCTCGCCGCACAACCAGAACCAGGTCCAAGCGTACGGCGCGACGCGCTCAATAGGGCTGATGCCGGTACAGAGCCACGGAGGACTTATCGGGTCGCTGGGGTTCCGGCTCGAAGAGCTAGACTAGGAACGGGGTGGTTATAAGTCAGTTGGAGTTTGACACTCCCTCCCGGCTTACCTAGGCGGGAGAAGTCATTGGATGATTTCCCCCCCTTAAATAAGGCCTGAGTATGATATCACCTTAATAATAAAGATATATAAATTTAATAAAAAATTGCATAATAAACGTAATAATTGTTGTGTAAGAAAGCAGTTTGTAATTAAATGGGAGTTTTTAAGGATATGTGATATTTATTGATTGCCAAACTTAAATTGAGTAGTTACATTTATTAAAAGGTGACGCCTTCTAATTTCCTCTTTATAATCAACACATCAATGTTCAATTAACTTAATAGACGTGTACAGAATTGAATTTCGATGAAATCGAAAGTATTTTGGACGACATAAATACATACTTGTATTTGGAACTAATTGATAGGTACCTACGCATGAATGATATACATTCAGTCACTATATACAAATGTATTGACTTGTAATGTATAATGGTTTGACTGCACGGATGGGGCGGTGGCTGGGCAACTGACTGCCACGCAACGTGTCGCGAGTGCGATTCCCGCACGGAACAACTCTTTGTGTGAGATTGTTGTTCTGGGTCTGGGAATCATGTGTATGTGAACTTGTATGTTTGTTAACGCACCCATAATACATGAGAAAATCCTAGTGTGGGACAACGTTATATTTAAAAAGAGAAGAAATTGATGAAACATCATATAACTTTATAACTCATTCGGGGATAAAAGGCACGATGTTATGTTATGTTATGTTATGTAACTTTTATTAATAATTGTTACCCTCGAATAACATCTTAAGTACCACCTACAGGACCACATTACAGTTTTCACAATCAAGTCTTGATATATATTCAACTTTATCCTCATATATCTTAATCTCAATACAGAATACCGTCACACAGTCCTTGACCGGTACTTAAGAGATTACTGGCATTTTGTATGTTGCAAAACTATAGCTCTTTGGATCCTGAACTACATTGCTTGCGAAATACGAATAAGGTTATCCGAACCGCCATCGCACATAGTCCATGAGCTCATGATCAATTTTCATGCGCCATTTTGAATGGAACGGTAATTAAATGAAAATATTAACGGTAGGAGTTTATTTAGTTTTAATTTTGTTTTTTTTTTCTCTTTGGCAACCGAGTCTCTAATACGATGTTTTTAATAACTATCGTGAGACATACCAAATTAACTAAAATCGCGGCACTCACGTGAATATACTGAGAAAAGCTCTACTAGTTTCGAACCACAGAGGGGTTCTTCCTCATGAGCAGCGTGCGCGGTCGCGGTGACGTCGCGTCTCCAATACAATGCAATTATACTGCCAGTGTCGAGAATTATGTTATTTTAATGTTGTGATTTTAAATGAATCAACCATTTCCCAAAAGTTGCGTTAACGGGATCGAGTCGCCCTATTCTATAAAATAATAATAATTGATATAACGATAATCGATTCGTTATTGTCATTAACTTTTTATAACAATCTTGTTAGAAATTGATTAGAGTAGGTACCTATAGTAAATAATTTAACTTTGTTGATAATGGTTATATTATTTTTTTATTGCTTCATTTATAGTGTAGATCTATTATCGTTATGGGAAAGTGAAAATGTAATAATGCTTGTTATTATTATTTAATAATGGAAGAATTGCTGTCAGTTTACAATGGTGAAGATTTACGATGACAATAAATTTAATTTATGAAACTAAATAAAACTTTTTAACTAAATTGAATTACCTAGACACCAACATAATTTTTTTGTTACTTTTTACACTCCAAGGTGAATAAATCCTTATAAAGCCCTCATCATCATCATCATCAACAGCCGGAAGACGTCCACTGCTGGACAAAGGCCTCCCCCTTAGCCCTCCACGTCGAACGACAACTCGCCACCCGCATCCACTGGCTCCCCGCAACTCTGGCGATGTCGTCGGTCCACCTAGCGGGAGGTCTGCCCACGCTTCGTCTTCCGGTCCGTGGTCTCCACTCAAGGACTTTCCTGGCCCATCTGCCGTCAGTCCTTCGAGCGACGTGGCCTGCCCATTGCCACTTCAGTCTGCAGATTTTGCGAGCTATGTCGGTAACTCTTGTTCTTTGGCGAATCTCCATATTTCGGACTTTGTCGCGCAAAGAAACCCCGAGCATAGCTCTCTCCATCGCACGCTGAGCGACTTTGAGCTTCTCCAGAAGGCCAGAGGTCAGGGACCACGTCTCGGTACCATACGTCATCACCGGCAACACACACTGGTTGAACATCCTGGTCTTTAGGCACTGAGGGATTTTCGATGAGAAGATTTCGCGTAACTTCCCGAACGCTGCCCATCCAAGTTGGATTCTTCGGGCGACCTCTTTGTCGAAATTGGACCTACCTAGCTGTATAATCTGCCCTAAGTATGTGTAGTGGTCTACAACTTCGAGGATATCGTTCCCAACGATGACCGGTACAGGTGCAACATGGACGTTTGACATGATTTTGGTCTTGTCCATGTTCATTTTAAGACCCACCTGTTGGGAGACGATATCGAGGTCGCTGAGCATGGTGTTTAAATCCTCCAGCGACTCGCCATGATGACTACATCATCGGCGAAGCGGAGGTGTGTGATGTATTCGCCATTGATATTGATGCCCAGTCCACTCCAGTTTAAAAGCTTGAAACGTCCTCCAATGCGTTGGTGAACAGTTTCGGAGAAATCACGTCTCCCTGTCTCACGCCTTTCTGCAATTGGATTGGTTCCGTGCTATCTTCCTGGAGTCGGATGCGCATGGTGGCGTTTCTATACAAACACTTTAGCACCTCGATATATCTGTAGTCGATATGGCATCGCTGGAGAGACTGCAGCACCGCCCAGGTCTCGATCGAATCAAAGGCTTTTTCATAGTCCACAAACGCCAAGCATAGTGGCAAGTTATACTCCTCAGTCTTCTGTATAACTTGCCGCAGCGTATGAATGTGGTCTATGGTGCTAAAGCCTTTCCGGAACCCGGCTTGTTCGGGAGGCTGGAAGTCATCAAACCTGCGTTCCAGACGGTTCGTGATAACCCTAGAAAACAGCTTATATACATGGCTCAGAAGCGAGATGGGTCTATAGTTCTTCAACAAAGAGTTGTCACCCTTCTTGAAGAACAGAACCACTACACTCCTTTGCCATGCTTTCGGCGTAGTTCCTTCGAGAATGACGGAATTGAATAGTTTCTGGAGGACTAAAAGTATCGGTTTTCCACCCGCTCGCAGAAGTTCTGTTGTGATTCCGTCATCACCCGGTGCCTTGTTATTTTTGAGCTGTCTGAGAGCCATCCTAATCTCATACAGGCTGATGTCTGGGATATCCTCGGTATAGTGCCGTGTCAGTTTAGCTCTAGGATCCCGAGCTGTACCGACAATAGGTTGCCGTGTCGAGGTGTATAACTGTCCGTAGAACCTTTCAAGCTCTCTCAGAATCTCTGGCTTCGACGAAACGATGCTGCCATTTTCGGTCTTTAGTTTCGTCATTTGGCTTTGCCCAACAGACGAATTCCTTGCGAATACTTTTGCGCCCTGCGTTATATGCACGCAGGTCGCGTCGCATAGACTTTGAAATTTGCCTATTAAGTTTGCCATATCCAGACATGTCAACTGAAGACTGCAGCCTCATCTCGTGTCGGTCTTTCAATAGTTTAAGTGTTTCTTTCGAGAGCTTTTGAGGTCTATTTCGGCGTGGGTTTTTGAAAAACTCTGAGCCCACCGTTTGGACAGTTTCCACTAACCCATTATTTAACTCGTCAATCGTTTCACACTCAGCCAGGCACTGGAAGCGATTATGCAGTTGGAGCTGGAACTGTTCGGGGTTCTGGACCTGGGCGCGACCAGGACGGAGTGTGGACCTCACCAGGCGTGACCTCTCCAGCTTGACATTGATATTCAGTGTGCCTCTGACAATACGGTGATCGCTGCCGGTTTTCACCTTAGCTATCACAGAGACATCACTGAATATGCGCTTGTCGGTCGCCATGATGAAGTCGATCTCATTTTTGGTGTAACCATCGGGACTTATCCACGTCCACCTCTTAGCTGGTCGCTTTCGGAAGAAGGAGTTCATTAAAAAGAGTCTCTCCCTCTCCATAAAGTCGACCAGCCGCTGGCCCCGACGGTTTCGCTGCCCATATCCAAATGGCCCCATTCTCAGCTCTTCGCCGTTCCGTGTGCCCACCTTCGCGTTGAAATCCCCCATGACAACGGTGAAGTGTGCTTCGGAGGTGTGTATGGCTTGGGAAATTTCCTCATACAGAGCCTCTACTTCATCATCGCAGTGTGTCGAGGTCGGCGCATATACCTGTATGACCTTCAGCGAATACCGGTGTGATATTCTGAGTATAAGGTACGCTACCCTGCTCGACACACTGTCAACTTTACTCACGTTGTTGACGAGGGACTTGCGGACGAGAAATCCGACACCACCCTGGGATTTTTGATCTCCTTCCCGGAAGAAGAGCAAGTTGCCGGAATCCAGGACCATCGTATCCTGGCCCTCTCTTCGGATTTCAGACAGTCCCAAGATGTCCCACCGCATTTTGCTCAATTCTTCCTCCAGCTCGACAATCTTCTCATCGGTCCGCAGGGTGCGGATGTTATGTGTTGCCAGGGCCAAAGTTCGTCGGGGGTGGTAGCGGTTCATCTGCCGGGGATTCTTAGCACCCCCTGCTCCGCCGTTACCCGATCCGCTACCAAGATCAGGAATAGCGGAGCTGCCGGGGACTGGGGGCCGTGTATTTAGGTTGTCGTTCATAGTGAGGGGGGGGGGGGGTTTGCCATAATCCCCACGCTTGGCAGGCGGCTTGGGGATCGCAGTTAGGTCACCGATATATTTATGGAATGCTGCACCCCATTCCTCGGTGTCTGGTCGCAGTTTTAGGACGTACCCGGGTCCAGGACGTACCCGGGTCCTATAAATATAATAAATCGGGTCCTATAAATATAAAGCCCTCACGCCTCACTTTTTTTTATTACCTCTACACTGAAACCACTTCAAAATAAATACATACATCACGCCTTTTATCCTTGAAGGGGTTGGCAGAGTTGCACATTGTGTGTATGTATTCCTATGCAGAAAAACGAGCAAGAAACTCCATAGGTTACTATTTTTCAATCATATATTTTATTGGTAGCGGCGACCGCTTGTGCCGGCATGATGTCTCGGTGGAAAATGACCCTTATAGTCTGCTCTGATGACAGTCTTGGTAAGAGATGGGGTGCTAACAAATGTACCTATTTTATTCTGCCATCATCACTTGGTAAGCTTTTGCTTAGAAAATAAGTTTTATAATCGTTTGATGGACAGTGTCGATTATTAGCCCTTCGGATTGTGTCAGAGGAGAAAACTTGTCTAAAGTATAAAGAGCAAATTGCTGACGTTAATTATGAAGTTAGACTTAGGGCTCACTAGTGGATGGACTGGTCACTGAATTATAGAAGGTATTTTGATAATTCCATGCTATATAGCATCAGTTTCCTTTGTGGAATGCTGCCTCGTTGGCCGAATGGTCGTAAGTGCGACTGCCGGGCAAGGGGTCTCGGGTTCGATTCCCGGGTCGGGCAAAGTATTACTGGGTTTTAAATATTCTCAGTAGTAGCACGGAGTCTGGAATTGTGCCCGATATATGGTAATGGCTCACCCCCTATTACATGGGACTCACAACATAAATAGTGAAAAGTGAGTGTTACATTATACAGTGGTATAATGTGCACCTCTGCCTACCCCTTCGGGGATAAAAGGCGTGATCTTATGTTATGTAATGTTTCCTTTGTGAAAAAGACTTATCGTATGGCGAGTGATTCTTTCTAGTTGTCTTAGAACTTTTGTGGTTAGATATGGTATGTACTTATGTATAATATGTATATCTATATATCTTATAATCTACTAAAGTCCTACAGAAGCTATATTATTGTATTTATTT